GACATTGCTGATTCTATCTCCCGTTTTCAGCAAACCAGATTTCGGCGGCTAGCACCGCATGCAGACCATCAATTTAATAAGGAACTACGAACACGTTTGGCCCAAGGTGGTTATCACACTGCTCACTATGCAGGCCACATGCAGCTTTACAATCGGAGCGGCTACCACAGCTGCGTCCCAAGGTTTGCCTCATTGGCTAATTCAAACACTAGGAAGATGGTCTTCCGATCTACGGGGATCACACACATTATCGTTGTGTGATTGTGGAGGCAATTGCTCTAGTATGAGGTCGCAATTTTACGATAGACCTCACGTTTTCTTTACGAAATTTGGCAACCTGGCATAAAGCCAATTCCTATTTACAAAATCATACTATTTCTGCATATGAGTATATGTACTGAACAAGATCAGTGTTCTAAAACAAGATCAGTTTTCTGATTATTTTTTCCCGTGCGGTAAAAGTATATGTCTTGGGTAGATTAGGACCCAGCTGCAAATCAGTATATGTCCTAATCGACTTTTCCCAAGATCCAGCTTTTCAATACGAGTATATGCCCTTGGGAACCGCTCAGCACCCAGCTCTTCGCAGATACAAAATGTTGGGCAGACTAGGCCAGTCGGACAATATTGGCTTATTATAAAAATAAATAGGAGAAATTCTCTCAATATTGGGGGAAATATGCTATATAATAGTCGAAAATCGACGACAAATATAAAAGCTGTAATAAATTATAATACATAATTATAAAACCGTCGACAACAATTTTGGAAAGTTTGCAAGGAAACACTATTTTGACAAGTCGGGCACAATGGGAAAAAGTCAGGCAAATTTCTTTCTGCCCCCTAATTTTTTCCTTCCCGTACGCCTATGGGCATCGTCTATAGTTTCCCCAAATACCCATCATCTGAATCACTCACTTCTACGATAACATCATCTGATTCATTATCGCTTTTATCTGATGGGGGCAACTTGTTGCTCTTTCGTTTGCTTTCACAAATTGCTGAACATGCATGCACGACCTGGATTGACTTGACGTGCCAACATAGAAATCTGTTGCTTGTCGCGAGGAGATTTGAAGACTACTTATAGTGGATATTCAGGCTAATGTTTGAACAAAATATATTACAGACAAATTCCAGTGATGTCTCCCCTTTGTAAATAAATCGGCAATTCGTTTACCGCCCCCTGACTTCGCCATAAGATCACCAAAAATACTGTAGTCAAGTTGCGTTGAGATGCACAAAAAAATCGTCAGAGTCAATTGCGAAGGGAATGCCTTCGAAAATACATGGATTGACATTGTCCATAGTAATCTATTAGCACTTTATAGATATACAGGGTGTATCAAAAAAAGCGCAATCCTCGACTGAAATGTAAATTGCTAAACAAATAATAGACGAAAACGTTAAAGTTTACATTCATTTTAAAGCGTAGCCATTCAGCTTTCTAACAGTCGGTTGTTTCTTAAATTTGACCCATTGGTTCGCGGGTAATAATACTTTACGTTATTGCGATTGGAGATTAAAAAAATTGAGATGGAATAACAAATCGTTCTCATGAAAATAACTGTTTTTTTCCATTAAAACAAAAAAATGGATTGTAACAATAAGTACAATTACGGCTTTTCTTCCACTATTTTTAACTCAGTTTGAAACTTCAAATGCAATATAATTTTGGCTTGGACCATCCAAGCCGACTGACATCAACTTGCTATAATTTCTGTTTACATTACATCGCAATTCGATGACACTCTGGCTCAGACACCAGAATGTTTTGACGATTTTAGCATTCGTTTAGGATTTTCAAACAACCTGGTCTCTTTTAAAATACTTTTAATTTGTTCTTACGTGGTTTTCCAGATGTAGTGACGACAACATTAAAGTTTAAAGAATAAAATTCTAACATTTAAACCGACTAAACAATAACATAGTAAACTAGCATAATTAAACAGCAACTAAAAATGATAGGTTTTACTAAATCTTTTCCTGTGCAATTATTACAAGCATTGGAGACAAGGATAATAGTTTATTTGAAAGAGAAAAGAACAGGCTTTGAAGTAAGCCTATAAAAGCGTTTAACTAGAGATAGTATTTCGAAAGTTATTAAGCACAAAAGATGAATTGCGTTTATTTTGATACACCCTGTATGTATGTAAAATCCTACCTCAAACCTAACCCTGTATATTAATTTATATATAATAGATTTCGGTTGGGCGTATATCGAGAAAATGCGGAAATCAAATCCATTCTTCAACTTCGTACCGTAAATCTGATCCGAAAGAAACGCCCATAAGGTAACCCTTTGGCGCCGTAACTTTTGGAGGGTAATCAACAAAATGAATAGCATAAACATCTAAGTTGATTTAGACACTACGTTTTCGATAAACAAGTGTTCAAAAATGTCGTATACTGTATAGTTCCATAAGCCTAACTTTCAGGTAATCTATATTTCCGGGAGATTTGTTTCTATGTAATTAAGAATTACCTTCACACTGTTTTCCATTACCAGAATATCCTTTGTTGCATGTACATTCATAAGACCCATCTGTGTTTGAGCACATAGCGTTAAGACAGGAATATTTAACAATTATTCGTCGAAGGCGAGGTGATTATCGGGGAATATTTACAGGAGACGAAGTCGAGGTGAATATTCCCCAACAATCACCGAACCCGAGGCGAATAATTTATCGAGAAAGTGCCGAAATACGGTCGTCTCTGTATTTTCAATCCAATCTGGTAGGCTTCAATTTCGTACGGTAGAATCCAAAATAAAGCCCGTGAATTTATTTAAACTTAGTAATGGCATAAGCATCTACTTTCAGGAACATCCTCAGAGACATGAAAACTATTTTCCTAAACTGCAGAGAAAGTAATAAAAAATTCGTTGTTCGGAGCGGGATTCGAACTTGTATCTTTGGTTTCTGGATAGATTAACACATGTACTACGTCTTCAGAAAAACTAGTGCTCAAAAATATCGAATACAGTCCCTGGTCTAGGAGCCCCCATTTCCGAGGTGATCGCTACTTCCGGGGGTTTATTTCAGTCGGAATTCGACGGTATTAAAAAAAATAACGTAGTCACCTTCACACTGTTTTCCATTACCAGAATATCCTTTGTTGCATGTACATTCATAAGACCCATTTGTGTTTGAACACATAGCGTTTCCGTCACAATCATTTACACCATCACATTCATTCACGTCTAAAAAACATTTAAATCGATCAGTGCTTGTCAGTTATTTCCTCTCGAGATTATTTCATACGTTGTCATTGTTGCCTCACTAGAAAGTATCAAGACTAAACTAAGATTAAAGCATGAGATATAAAATCACGTTTTCTCTTCTAGAAATAAAATCTAAAATTATCATTACTTATCACAAAATTTCGCAAAAGCTGACTAGCCTAGTTTTAATGCCTTTTGCATATCAATAGGGCGATCAGTAGTTTCTAGGCAATGACTCACTCAAGGTTTCGCAATTTTGCCATTCAAATCCACATGGATAAGACGAAATAAAAACAAACATACTATACGAATTCACATGTGGTGAACAAATGGCACTGGACAACTTTGTCTACGTTCTGAATTTGTCTGCTCTTCTGTGAATGGGGTTTTACAAGATATACCTGCACAATCGAAACCATCCCCAGCATATCCTGCATTACACAGACATGAATAAGCTCCGAGTGTATCCTTGCAGTTGGCATCGTCGTTGCAAACATCGTCATACAACTCACATTCATTAACATCTAAAATAGAAGGAATAATTTAGTTTCAAGAGATTGTGCATTGTATACCTTTACGAATATTAGATTTTGATGCAAAGATTGGCAAATATTTCACCGAAAGTGAAACTTTTAACAACCACAAAAATACAATGTTTCAGTTTCAAACTAACTGCGAAATGTCGACAGTTCTAACTGGACTATCCCGTATTAATTGATCTTTGTTTAATTTATTTTTGCCAATCGATCTTGCCCTCTCACTTTCAATTGAGAGCAGTGGCGTAACTAGAGCGTTAATTGGGGGGGGGGGGGGGGG